TGGCGCCTGCCTTCTTTCTTCACTAGAATTCACTGATCAAGGAACGAACCAGTCCCTAGGTTACCAGATCGATGGCACCAATTCCTGCGTCACCTTCCCCACTCCATCTGTTACCCTGTGGGAAAGTACGCTCTCAGACAAGGCTTCGAAACATGCGTAGTGGACCCTACGCACACTAGTCTAACAAATGACAAATCGAAACGATTGTGATGAACCACCTCTGTTATTAGCAATTTGTCATTATGGCCATTGTCATTCAGCACTCAGCTAGGAGTGGATGACCGAATGGGGAAGAACCGGGTAAGCATGCCATTGGCTTAGACGCAAACGACCAGCCCAACAGACATAAAATAAATGTGCCGTTTTTGGCATCTGGTAAGGGCTGTTACTTCATTAACACCGTCATCGATGCTATTCTATTTTGTTTATCATAAACATGCGGTAGTATGTCTAATTCTAATGGCATAAAAGGTTTATTGTACAAACATCTATCTTCCAATGTACTTTGTGTGCAGATTCGCTCGGTGGTTTTTGTGAGTGCATCGGACCGTACTAAGTGGGAGTAAATGGTGGAGGGCTCCGAGCTTTGACTTAACCAACAGGAACAATGTCCTCTAGATCGCATCCGACGCAGCTCTTGAGATAACCTTCACGCACTAGTGACTTCTTATCTGATCGATAGATATTGTTGATGATGCAACGCGGTGCAGACGAATCATGTGCTAGAGAACCCACGTCAATATATTATAACAGTTCTAGCCTGTACTGGTGTCTCGTTTCATCGAGAATGAAACTATTTATAGTTAGAAACTCGGGCCCGTTTGCGCACTTCTTTCGTGGTAACTTGCTGACGCTCCGTTCCCCTGCGCCGCTTAATTCGCAACGTATCAGTGGACGTAGCTTTGTGCACCACACCTCCTCGCACCACGGCGATCCACGCATTTTCTGATTTCCTTGCGCCTCCTTGTTTCCACATCTACTACTCATTAGTAGTGTACCCCAACATAACTGCTTGAACACATCTGAGAAGTAGTCGCGGTCACAGGTCGTCACTTAATATCACTTACCATGATGACACGCGCATACTACGCATGTGAAGTGACACGTGCGTTGGAAGGTTTTGGTGTTACTCTCACTCATCCATGTACTCCAAGAACTGTGCGAAAACATCCACAATTTCGCGAGCGTAATCATCAACACATTTTAGCAATTGTTTCGCAACACAATGCAAGCAAACAGCGGCAAAGGGCAGATACGATGAAAAAACAAGTCAACAATAAAACACTTCAGTTGTTATTACGTGTCGATAATGAGGGTAGCAGAGGCAGTTGAACAAGAGAACGATGCTTTGTGACGGGTAACGATGCGTTTGCATAGCAGATCGTTTAGGGTGTTCACAGAGAGAAGTACGAAAGCAAACTATACATGTGAATCATAACCCAGCATACAAATGGCATATTAAAAGCAATCTGTTTGAAATTAGATGGCACCATTAAAAACAGTGCACAAGTAATTAAATCTATAGCTTAATGTAAAGAACAAGCGGATTGTTCACCCGTCTGCACTGAATACGTGGATGACGGTGGATCATGATACCAAACAAGCCAGTTAGCCGGAATACATTCCAGCCTACCGGTCTATGTAACAAAGTGTAGGGAGCTGAATGCGATATTAAAATATCTTTGTGGATAAAATGAGGGAAGAGACAGTGACGCGCCACTTGTCCTTATTTAGTGGCAGCGCATTATCACCGACCAACTCCAGGCCTCCTCGAGGTCATCCGACAAATCTTAATTTCATCTGAGAGAAGTGAACCTTGTAACAACACGCTAGATCCCTGATGGAGATTAGAAACAGGAGAGGCCTATTAGATCCCAGTTTACAATTTTTCAAAACATTCATATTTTTCGGAATTGCACCTTCCATTCGACATACATTAATTGAACATTGGTACTACGCCCAACTTTCCACATGAGCTACTTGATCTCACGGAGATGTCAAAACAACATTTAATCTCTGTCCATGAACACGCGGCAAGACCAAGCACGGGACAATGATGGGCGATAGAGGAAGCAAATTATATCATAAAATGGGCATTCATATGCCGTATCGGGACTCAGCATACCCAACTGGACGACCGGATTACTGACCCGCACATCATTCAGATGCACAAGACTCGCCGTCGACGTTGTGTTTAGGCTCACCGGACCCGACTTTGACTCACGGCCACTATATACGAAAACACGTTAAGTTCCTCTTTTCTGTATTAATATCATCTGCACAACAGTATCATTTATTTTACTGTTTAACCTACTGGTTTTGTAACTAGTATCGATCTAGGTGGCACAAATAAAGCCTAAGTACCGAAACCTGCAGTACCTCGCACTCCACTAGAATTGGGTGCGACAAACATGTTCGAACTCCAATCTACAATTGACATTCGCAGAGGAACTTGCCGATCCCGCCCAATACTGGACCTTCGATGCCATATTTCGGTAGCATATGAGGCAGCTTAGGATTATCTAAGTGATTGAACGCTTTCGAAAAGTCCAAGTAGATCGGTTCCTGTCCCCTCGTCAGCTGCCTCAGTCTAGTTATCGTTCGATATTAGCAGGTTCGTCGTACATGATCGATGTTTATGAAACACATATTGTTCCGGTGCGATTATACTGTGGCTTTCCAAGTAGCCCATCAGGGGTCTACAATGATCGATTCCATGAACTTGGAGAGCAAAAGGAGTAGCGTTACCGGGGGGTAATTGGCAGGCTCAGATCGACTTCCTGCCTTGTGAATAATAGTGCCTGTAACCACTTGAACGGAACTATATTCTTATGTAGACAGCGTCGAAAGAATCTGATCAGCGGTTCGGCTACTTGCATGACTGTTACTCGCGGTGCTTTCAGGTAAATGTCATCCGCTCCAGGAAAGCTGTTTATACGTAAGAATAACAGCTACTTCAGCTCCATTTCTGCAGTGAATGTGACGCAGATCAAGCCAGAAGGTGGTGTAATAGAAACAGGAATAGCCTTGCCTTCCTTGAAAGGTGTGACTACTGAGCTCTTATTGCGCTGGGCGCCCCGTTCGCTGTGTACGGATACCCACCAACCTTAGTGAGTAGCAGGAATCCGCGCTCCATTTTACTAGGGCTATCGACGTGTCTGTAAAGAAACTTGCGGTCCAAACATAAGCGTCTTACTAGCTCCTGATGGTGTGTTAGTTTGTGTTCAAGAAACCGACCGCACCCAGTATTTACGTTGAGCCACCTACGCGGTTCAATTTTCTGCGTTTTATGACTTTTCTAAACGCACCATGTTTACTCTGTTAGGGCATTACACTCAATTTTTGCTCCTCAAATTGGACTCTGGTTTAAGGGGGGTGATGGACGTGTTCGGCGTGATGCTTTCGCGACTAGTGAAGTGAAGGTTTAAAAGAATACTTCCTATGCTATATCTAGGATCCACTCAGCCATAAATGTCCAATTAGTGTCCTCAACAATTGCTGACATTTAAGCGGTCTCAAGAGATGAATGTAGAGACATAGGTTCAAGACGCAAAGCAAGTATGCTGCAAGCAACGCAGAAAGCTGACGAAATTAGTTCGTCATTTAAGACGCAGACTGCTACGTGGCCCAGGGCAGCTGACGAACTCAGTTCACAAAACACGACAATGGTGTGAGCGGTGCTGAAGCCAAATACTGGAGACCGCGAGCACGTGTGAAGTTGAGTAGACGGTTGAACATCAAGCGACCAAGCGAAGTAGTGTCGGATTGTAACTCGGAGATGAGGGCATATGATCTACAGAAATAACCATGATCTGTCCTTAATATACTCCGGTCCAAGAAGTATTTTCTTCCGTTTTCCTCGGATAGGCTTAACACAGTACTTGGCAGAATGCAAAGACAGCACAGCGTTGCAACACGGATAGTGCGCCGTATTGCGTAGTAAAATGCACACGTTCAGGCACCGTATGGGAACAACCGGCGTGGCAAAGGTAACAGAGCAGTGAGGTAACACGATCGATTCGACCACGTCTAGCCCCTCAGCCATGAGCTCCACGCTGTTTTGAACCTGGTTGGAGCGGTGATGTGACTGTAACAGAACATGCCAGAGATTAGTTCTTGCAGATGGGCTTTGAGCTGATCACTATCGGTTGCTGTAGTTTCCAGATCATGGATGTTTAGGTCACCTCTAATGAGGATGTGGTTGCATTTTTATTAAACATACACCCATTGACTGAGCCTTTGTTAACGTATCTTTCCGTATTGAGCCTGATGAGGGATAAATTGTAAGCAATTATTTCCGTAAAGTGTGCCATTGTTGTTCCTTCCATAGATTGACAATACGCAGATGCAATGATTGTCTGTGGTCCATTTTGGAAGTGGATTTGGGGGGTCAGTAAACCACAGCTATGAGGCAGACATCGTCGTACTTCAGCTATATCCTTCATCAAATGAAACCAGTGACATGCGTTTGTGGACCGCCTATGAGTTCACAACGAAGGTTTGTTTGGTAACAACTGGTTACTACCCCTAGCATACTGTTCGGAAGTTCATGCGATGTAGGACCATAGTCGTCAGATCGAATCCCCGGAACTCGGAGAAATGTTGCCCTGCCGACGAGTCCTATTATGACGAGGAGGCCGCTTAGCTTGCCACCGGATATGTGCAGGGTTGACTGACTGAAGTTGTTCGCGATGAACCTCCTCGAAATGTGGTTGTTTGTAGATTACGGAGATTCCGAGGCGTCCTCAAAATACCGGTGCCAATAATATGCGGTGTCAAACAAACATGTATGAGAGTTAGGTAAAATAAGATGTCACTGAAAACCGGAAGGTCAGAAGAGCTACTACACAGTTTTTTGGGTCGACGAGCACCAAGTTCGCTGTTAAGTAACGATAGCGAAGGCCTACAACTACAAGTGTGACGTGACCGATGAAAAATACAGGTCGCAGCTACTCTTCTTGCAACAACTAACGGCGAACTGGTAAAAAAATACCAGAATTCGCATGATCCATACAGATTATTTTCGTAGTAATCTAGAACAGTGCTTAGAGTGCTGTAATACACAAGTTTTATGAAAGACAAGCACGAAGTAGCGAGCTACAGTGAAACTCGAGCAAAATATTGAGAAAAAAGCAGCAAAGGATCGCAGATTTGCTGATCGGACATGGCGTGTGGAACCGAGTCTAATCAATAGAAGACGCAACACAAGAAGGAGGCTAGATAGCCACACGAGCGTGATTAACCTGCTTGTGACGCAGAAAGTCGACAAACTGAACGCGATCACAAAATGTGGAGGGGAATTTGTTTTCGGTGAAATGAAGAGTTTTATACATCCCGAATTGTGCGCCGAAAGCGCGTCTGGTGGGTGATATTGGGAACGGAATGCCCAAACTGCCCAAGCGGTCGGTAGCATGCGGTGCAAGTCTCCATTGTCTGTTGGATCTTGTCCTCAGCAAGAAAGCTCCGGAGGCATCATGCCACGGCAAATGCTTAGGGAACGGATCGGACTTGTGGGTGGGAATCAGCGCAAGCACTTCCCTAGTTGGATGAGCTTCGTTGTTAACGTGTTCGGTACATTCTGTGCTAGTGTCACACGCGTTGTCCACTTGAGTAGTTGGTGTGCTCAGTGGAACTTCGGGCGTTGTCAGGCGAAGGTGATTACAACTTCGTGCAGATGACTGCCGCAAAGGGCACGTGCAGGATTTCGTCGGCGGATTCCTTTGAGTGTGTCGCCCAGCAGCCGACAGTTCCACAGCAGAACAAGCACCTCCGGCGAACTGTAAATAAGTATAGTGAAAAGTAAATTAACAAATGTGTAGCAAGACCAGCAATAAGGCAACAATTGTTAATTCAATTTGATAAATGACGACCAACTTCTGTTACATTTCTGGACATCCAAATGGTTGACTTCATGAGATTAGGAAAGCTTGCTATACCACGTTGACACTAAATATCCACCCAAGGTGAAATATGACCACATACAAACGCGGCTACCGCTTAAATTGCGAAGTAGTGCCCTGCACAGGCATTCAGTCAAGATGTAGCAGCCAGGTGTTTAAGGCTCCGGTTTGGCAGACATACCGCTCTGGTGGATGGGACGGGGAACTGAAATGGATGGATCAAACAGAACCGAATAAATTGCGAGGTATTGAACCATGACCACACAGCTGAAATCTTTTCAGTCCGGTGTGTAAGTACGCGAAAAGGTTAGTGAGCATCTCAATGGAAGATATGTGAAGCTGGCGAAGTGCTGTGACGGTGCATCGGAGGCCAATACCAGGGGACGCGCGCGCCGAGAGCGTAACTTTTTCCGTATTCGAACAAATAATCTCAAAGGATGAAACAATCGGACAACAATACAACAGTCGTCTAATGAAAATGACACAAGCTGGAGTTAAGGACATCTCTAGTCACAGCTAATACATATGGCCGTTAAACTAAAATAAAAGCGGACAGCTGTGTACTCGGAGTAAAGAATTAGAACAACGCAGGTGGCAATAAGAAGAAAAAGACTGGACGAAGTCATTTATTGGTGCAATTAGGAATAGTAGTTTCGCGCACGGTAGGAAAGCGGACGCGGAAGTAGTCACATGTCATGCATCCGTGCATTGAGTTACGCACTTCTCAGCATAGATGGGCTGTCTATGGGAAGCGTCACGTGATCGATACTGACTCGGACGCTCAAGGTCAGGACGCACATAAGAGCGCACGTGATGTCTGCGACAAGGTGCATGCATGCATGCACGTAGTGGGATGTGAACAATGGGATGCGTTAACAACTGAGAGCTAATCACTTCAACTGTTTAGACGACATCGGCGCAGCGAATCAAAGGCATTTCGGCATTATGATTTTACTTGGACACTTCCGTGTCAGATTACCAGGAACTTTTAGACGATGTTTGGGGCCTGCAACCACTTATGTTTACTGTATGACTGGTTTCTTCCAAGGAAGAACATATTAACGAATTCATATCCTGCATACCACAGTCCCTGCCTGATTGTCCGTGGGATTCCGCGGACGAAATCTGAAGAGGTCATGAATAATCAATATATGTTGATTGACATTTGTGACAACAGAGCCAGATAACGTTTACTCTCGGAAGACGAAGGCGAGCTTACTTAGAAACCTATATAGAGCTTGCTGATGCAAAGAGAAAATGTGGTTCAACAATTACTTCATCACCAATACAATCCCTTCTAGACGTACAACCTCGATTTTCACCCAACAACAAATGCTCTTTTATGTTCTATAGGTTGGCAAAATACATAAAAGAATGACTGACTGCAGTCTACTTGCTACAACTGCGGCAAGGTCGAATGTTATGCGCTTGTTTGCCGTCCAACTGTGCTTCGACATTCAGTAATTCACCCTCTACCAGGTACTCTCCGAACAGTGGAAAGTCCAGTAGAACCCATACCAGAGCGGAGAGTTCAAATTCGGCCGTTGCTGTTGCCGCTAGAATACTATTCTGCACATCTCACTGCGGATCCTGGATATTTACGGAAATTGTTTCACCATTTGCTTGAGTGAACCAATTTCATAATCACCAATTTTGTCATACTCTGTTGGCGATTTGATTTACCTTATAGATAACGTGTGAAACTCGCCTCTGGTTGATTATGGCCACAAGATCAGAAAACTTTCAAAAGACTTGTCAAGAAAAGTTCCGGAAAATCGGAAAATCACCGTGCTAACTGGCAAATGGGATTCAGGCGTTGTTCCGTAAACAAGGCATAAATTTCACCAATCATGTCCAGTAATATACGATCATTTCTCGCGAAAATCCCTGAGCTCGCGAACATTATGAAGCGAAATTATAAATATAGGCATAGTGATATGACAGAAATGTTTGCTGCATTTTGATATAAATGACGAAGTCGTTAAAACAAACGGCTACCGCCACATTAGATCCGACCATCCAGGAGTGCTCCAGCATCGCGGTTTTATCACATACAAATTAGCGAAAATTGGAGGCAATTCGTTTGAATGAGCTGCTACCTATTGAAATGCAAACCAATGTTTCTGAGAGGTTTCCTAACTGTTGTATACGCGAATGTGTAGTCACCTCCTGACACAGGGCTGTTCGAGCTGGAAACGCTTGCAGATAACCTTGCCATGGAGGTGCAGTCAGTTAGAATGTTCCATCTGTGTTCTCAACGACGACTTTAGTAGGAGTGGCAGTTTAGAGTAAAGCGATATACTTAAGCAATTTGGCGGAATTCCCCACCAGACTCGATGCGCATCAAGACTTAGTTTTTACTTAGAAACAACTCTTTTCTACACCAAAGCCTGTTCCCTTGGTATTTTCGGCGAATGCTATCATATATATATATATATATATATATATATATATATATATATATATAAATGGTTGGCGGCATCCGATTTCGGATTTGCCTGTCACTGTGGCAAGCCACAGGACGCCTGCGCCTACAGAGGGACCATGGATGGCTTGCGCTGCACCAACCACAGCTCCAACCACATACCCCATATCCAGTGTAAACCCGAAGGAATAAGACCGGGAGGCATGCGGATGGGAACCACGTTTCTTCAACGGAGCCGGCCCACACTCCTTCACAGGCAAACACAAGCACGCTGTATTTGGGGAATCAACCGCACACAAGGCGGTGGCTGGACCGTAGTCCGCTCCACACTGAGTGCATGGAACCGCTCTTTGAGCCTAGCACGGCCACAAGAACCGTGCATCCCGTCCCCTCCAGCAACGATCAACTGTCTCCTGGAGCCAGTATGAACGATGTAGTGGGTAATAGACAGGTAGGCACCTTGTCAACATACACATCAAGCGCAACCATACCAGGGATATCAAACAGCAGCCATTCAATTTAAACGACAAGCTGAAATAAAATAAATCCAATAATGCATACAGATACGGTGGCATAACTCTTCGCTAAATTACCATATGAAGTAAGTTGGTCAGCAACAAATCCGTGATAAGTAAGAAATGTCCACAAGTTACTTAATATGCTACAAACGCAACAAAATTACCGAAGATAAGCGCAATTAGTGTAAGCAACGTGTCCAGTTAATAGAACATTATTCAGGGAGGCAGAACAAACCAAATAAAGCGGAATGAAATTTATCCAGCTGATATATATATATATATATATATATATATATATATGTATATATCTAGCTATAAGTAAAGCCAACTGTGTTACGCTGACAAAGAGGCCGTCCAGAACTGTTACACAACGGTTGCGCTCAGCATATAACATCATAAAGATCAAATCAACACTTTGTTCAACAAATTTTTGCATTTTTACAAATGAAGATATCGCAGTTCAAAACAATCACCTCACAGAATATATTAACTTCTGTTTTGATCATGGTACCCTAATGAGATAATCTACCTGCGAAATGACGTATACTTAGCTACATTGATCAAGTAACTACAAAGAAGAAAAGAACAGGCTAATAAGCATAAGCTAGCTGCCCATATCAAGCGTATGCTCGTGGTTATAAACGCTGAGGTAAGAAGGTTAAACAGTCTGTAAATTCAGACCGTTTTAGACAACCAAAATTGCTGTGATCTGTGGAGACTCCTACGACAACTCTCCGGAAGGAATTTCTGCAGTACGCGCCACAATGGGGATGTGTACAAACTCAATGCTGAGTTCGGATTCTCATCCCCTAAAACACTCCCCCTACTTTCCATCAACACCACAGCGCCTCCCACTTTATTTGATCACACATTTGTTTACAGGAAGCTCGCAAGACTGAAACCAAACAAGTCTAGCGGAACCGATCCACTATCAGCAACCGCTCCGTAGTAGTGTACAGATGTCTTAAGGAAATATCTGATAAAGAAATTGGATGGATGCTTTACGACTGGTACTATCCCAGACATCTGGAAATTAGCCAGAATAACACAAGTGAATAAAAAAGGATCTCGGAAATTTCGGCCAATTGTGTGAACTTCTGTGCTATTAGAGGTATTGGAAAAACTACTTATTCTCCGCATTCTCACAGGTAAACACACTGATGAGATCAAACTCAAGAACAATGGTATACTATAGGTAAAAGAAGCCAAGGCTTGACACTTCCCATGGGATGGTTTGTATGAACCACAAAAGGCGAAAAATGTGACAGAAAAGTTGAACGCGCATCTGTGGAATTACCACAGTATCCATGCTAACACACGAGTATATCGGTCCATCGCCATTTCGTGGGGGAAGAGTAGTGAGCACACTCCATGAGCAGAATTCAAATCAAGTAACACGGGTGGTGTAATGCAAGGTTTATTCGTTTTTTAAATATGGGTAGCGTGGCACAGTAATGATAAAAGTCGAAGGAGCGTTCCACGGCCGACATATTCTGAGAGAAAAATAGTTCCGGTGGTATTCCAGCCAGTGGTATTTAGTGGTCAGTTTCGGCTGGTGGACTCCCAGTTTTGTGTTGCAGCTAGTTTTCAGAACTTAGAACGTTCCTTCTGCATCATCGTTGGTGAATTCAGTAGAAGTGACACGGTCTTAATTAAAAAGTTGGGTTTAACCAACTTGGTGGATTCCCCCACCAGACTCGACATACATCTGGCTTTAGTTTTTACTGACAAAGGTAACCTGTTTTCCATACAATGAAGCGCGTCCCCTGGCAATTCGGACCACTATGTCGCGAAGTTATGTCCGAAGATTTACTGGAGCCTAACAACGTCACGATGACAATAAGACCATTCAGAACTGTTAAGCGACGAAACTGTTCAGCAAAAAACGTTGCAAAGCTCATATCAACGCTCCACTCAACCGACTTCTTAACTTT